CCCCCCATCACCCCCCAGCTGTGCACACAGCTCCTCTCCGCGCCCCACCTCCAACCCTCCCTTCCCCCATGGCAGCTCACCTGTGGGGCGGGCGCCGTGGGGCCGCACCGTCGGCGTTGGGGCCGCGCCGTGGCCGTGGGGGGAGGATCGGGGGGGGGTTTATGGGGAGCAGAAAGGGGGGGGGGGGGGGGGGGCAGCAAAATGAACCCAAACCCCGGTGGGGGAAGAGAGAAAGGCGGCGGCGCTACGGAGCCGGGGACACCCAGGCCCCCCACGCGGTGCTGGCGGCGCCGGTGCCGCTGTTGGCAGTGCTGGCGGTGGCCTGGGCCCAGGCGGCGCCGCTGTCGGCGCTCCATGCCGCGTACTGAGCCCCGGCGTCGGCCGCGGTGCCGTACTGGGAGGCGTCGGCGCCGTACTGGGAGGCGCTGTACTGCGAGGCGTCGCTCACCGCCTGCTGCTGCTGCTGCTGCTGCTGCTGCTGCTGCTGCTGTTGAACGGCCGCCGCGTATTGAGCGGCCGCCGCCGCCATGGCGCTGTAATGGTTGGCGCCGTATTGGGCGTATTGGGAGGAGGAGGAGGAGGAGGAGGAGGAGGAGGAGGAGGAGGAGTACTGGGAGGCGTACTGGGAGTACTGGGCGTACTGGTAGGCGCTGTACTGGGAGGAGGAGGAGTACTGGTGGCCGTACTGGGCGTACTGGTAGAGGCGGGACGAGGTGACGCCGGCGGGGGTGGCGGCGAAGGGGGAGGGGGAGCGAGGGGGCGTGGCCGAGGAGGCTCCGCCCACCATGCGGTGGCAGCAGGGGGAGGTGAGGCGAGCCCCGCCCCCGCAGCCCAGGCGGTGCAGGCAGGAGGCGGAGCTTAAGCGGCCGCAGGCCCCGCCCCCCTGCTGCAGGCGGTGCAGGCAGGAGGCGGAGCTCAAGCGGGGGGAGCACGAGGCCCCGCCCCCGGCCTGCAGGCGGTGAGCGCAGGCTCCGCCCCCCAGACCCATTCGCCCCGCCCCTCCGAAGCAAGCTCCGCCCCCGGCGCGGCAGGGCGTGGCTAAGAAGGGGGAGGCGGGGCTACGCGGGAAGCAGGCTCCGCCCCCTCGGGGCGTGGCCAGGAAAGGGGAGGCCGGGCTTCGCGAGAAGGTGGCCCCGCCCCTCAGCAGCGGGAAGGGGCCGCGGGGGGAGGAGCCGAGGGAGGCCACGCCCCCTCGGGTGGGGGTGAGGGCCAATAGGGAGCCGGGGGCGCGGGTGGGGCCGCGGGGGGGCCGGGTCGGAGTGAGGGCC